AAATAATTACCTTTCCATATTTCAGTATATGAATTTTGATCATCTCCTCATGTGCTGATCTCTGAGAAAATAAAAGCCAGAATCAAACTGTTATCTTATTATGCCTCTATTATTATAATACTCCTTGGCAATATCAAAAATATTTTGTAACACAATTTATCCCTTAGGAACCAACTGAATTACCATTATGATTATTAACCACTAGATGCCACAGTTGCTTCACACAAATGAAATTAACTCAGCCTTGATCTGTCAAGAAAAAATGATAACATTCAAAATAGCTTAGTAAAATCCTGATTCAAAGTGTCAGTACAAGCCTAATCTTGATTATACCTTGTAACAGAAGCATAACCTAAACATTCATGTTAATACTGACCTTTAACTTTCATAAATGATCAAATGATTCCACCCTTTAAATTTTTTGTGCCTTTTCTGTGATCTTAAAGTTATTAGTAACCTTTTCTAATTAGTTTTAATATCTAAATGTAGTCCCATCAGAGCAGTCTGTTCAAAGGCTCTCTGCTAAGTATAGCAGACTTTGTCTTGGGGTGGTTGACATTAAAGTCTTTCCAGAGCCACAGGAACACAACCTCTACAAGAAGAAATCTGTCTTCACTGTGAATCCAGATGATACCTTATGTTCCAGTAACTACAGCTCAGAGAAGGTGGCAAATAATTCATATGTTACTGTAGTCTAATATGGACATGTTTGAATTTGTTAAAGGATTTAGGGAAGACAGAAAATCAGTTTTGTAATTTTCTTTGTAAACTATTATAATTTTAGGAGGATTTTATTATTGCTTTTTTTTCCTCAAAACCCACTACTGAGGTGCTTCATGGAGATTTTATGAGATGGTTCACAAGTATACTTATTGGCACAGTCTTGCTTAGATGAGAACAGCAATTATATAAGACAGTTTTTCCCAGTTATTATTACAGAATTACCTGTATTTGTATATTCTTTCTTCTAATTTATATAGATTTTGCTATATTTTGGTATGCAATTATGTTTATTCTTCAATGATAGTTCCATGCAAATTTGCTCCTCAACAACCCTCATATCCAACTGAAATTTTTTCTTAAATTCTTCCTATAACTTATTACTTAATGTTTTGAAAATAAAAAAGTAAGTTCTTGATAGAGATTCCCAAGAAAACTGTCTACTCTAAAACTCATGTATCTTCAGAATTAAAGTAGTATGAGAAAATTACTTCACTGACTTTGGAAAATTCCCGCAAATAACCACAAGAATCTCGATACATATAAAATTAAATTGATATAAAAATCTTTTCCCAAAGCTTCTACTTATCACAAATAAGGAAAGGGGCAGACCCTGTGCAGGAAGAAAAAAATGAAAAGAGGCTTGTTTTCTCCGATTCTAAAGCGATGGGGTCACTTCAATAAAGATTTAAACGTTTTCTCTAATTCTACCCTTGTCCCACTCTAGTTTATTTTCTCCCCAAAGGAGCTAGAATGATCCTTGTAAACAATAAATAAAAACCAGATTACTACTCTACACAACAACTTCATTGTCACTCAGAATGAAAGCCAGTCTTTATGAATGTCTGCAAGGATCTAAATATGCACTGTCCAATATGGTAGCCCCTAGCTACTTGTGTCTGCTGAACATGGGAAATGTGGCTAGTTTCAATTCAGATATGCTGCAAGTGGAAAACACATAATGGTTTTGAAAAATTAGCATCAATAAAAAGAATGTAAAATATCTCATGATATTTTGGATATATTAAGTTGAATAAAAAGTATCATTAAAATTAATTTAACCTGATTTTATATGAGGCATCTAGAAAAAAATTAAATTATATATCTTACATTTCTGGCTCACATTATAATTCTATTCAGCACTGACCTAAATTATCCACAAGTCATCAGCTCCCTCCCATTTCCAATCTACTTTGGCCTCTGCAGCTTCTCAATATACCACGCCTGTGTCAAAGACTTGTGTTAGCTACCCCTTCTTGAAAATTATTCTTTCATTTATCTTCTGGATTAGTCTCCCTCACTTTTTCCCATTCTCTGTTAAAATTATCAGAAAGAACTTTCCTGACAATCAGCTTTAACTGGCCTCACCCAAAACATAATACACCCACTATCCTTATCAATTTTTCTAAAAATATAAACACTCCTACCCACATATTACATCTATTCATTTCTTTATATGTAAAAATACTTCATATACACTCATGCAAATGTGCGTGCACGTGTGTGAAATCTCTTAGAATACAAGTCCCATGAAGTCAGGACTTTGTTTTGCTGACTTCTGTTTCTCAGTAATTCTGTCTGCCTTATAGTAGATACTAAGTAAGTATCTGTTAAATAAATGAAAGGTGAAATGTAATAAAAATGAGATGATAGATACCATGAGAGAGAGGTTTTATCATGAAGGAATGGATTAGAAAATGAGGAGAGCTAACATTTCCCAAGTGTCTACAATGAACCAAACATTATGCTAAGCACTTCAGATAGTATATTAATAAAGTCTCACAGAATGAGTTTACAGATGAGAAATCCAAAACTTAGAGAATTTTAATAACTTGCCCAAGGTCACTTGCCTTGTATGTAACTTCACTTCAATGACTTTCATTTTATTTGAATGTTTTCTAGTGCCTTCCCTGATTCCCAGACTAAATTAGATGCTCTTATAAATATTCTCACAGTACTCCGTATCTCTGATCATATCATTTATCACCATTGTAATTCATTTTATAGTGTGATGTTTAATGTCTGTCTTCTTCAATGGACTATAAGCTTCATCATGAGAAGCACTGAATAGTTTGTTGACATCACCTTGTCTAATATTTAATCTCTAATATACACTTGTTGAATAAGCAAACGATGTTAACTTTCTCCCCAAATGTTCTGAACAGTTGATGAATGGGTTATTAATGCCCAATGAGAATTAATGATTTTGTAGATCAACTACATGAATGGAATCAATTAGCATAAAGCCCAGCTGAATACTGCAGGGGAAATGATGCTGGTATGTAGGTGGACTTATTTGTTTTTCACTGTTGACCATATGCAATAGGAAATCCTCTGGGAATATGCTGTTTTACAAGGTAGCCCCTAGCCACATGGGGCCATTTAAATAAAAAGTAATTAAAATTAAAGAAAATGAAAATTCATTTCATCAGTCACACCACTAGTCACCTTTCAATGCTCCATAATTATATGTGGCTACTAACTGTCTTATCAGCACAAATAAAAAAAATTCCATTATAAAGAAAGTTCTATTGAGTAGCACTGTTCTAGAAACTTTAAAATACCTTTGGGAAGATGTATTTTTAGATCTGAAGGAGCCTGTTTGACTAGCTTTGTATTCTAACTAAAATTTAACTTTGAGAGAATCCAATAATCTGTATTCCCAAGTGTCTCTGGGCAAAACCTAGACATGGAAAAGGAGATTCATTGTCCAGCAGATGAAATATTTAGTCAGACGTGCTCACGCAGAGCCAGTGACCTGTGTGGAAAGAACCATTCCTCCAAGGGCTCCAGGCAGGCCTAGTGTTCCAGGGACGCTGCCAGCACCTCGCTGGATCGAGCCATTTTGTCTAATGCCATTCAATACCATCCCTTTGCGTTTGATGTCTAAAACAGAAGACTGAAATTTGAAGAGAAGGAAGGGCTTGGGATGACAAATGCACCCCAGAGCATAGTTTTATGCAAAACCTTTAGAGAGAAATTTGTCAATGTTCCCTTCTTCAAAATGTCATACACCTTCAGGTAATTTCTTGCTAACGTAACTAAGTCACGATGACTTTGGCCAATACAACTTAACTTTTTTTGAGATTCTGTTGCTGGAGATTTTTCCTCCCTCATTGGAGAGGTAAAAAATTTCCTGTCTTAGCCTTAGAAAATAAAATGGTTCATAGGCAAATATAAAAATCATATCGTCTATTTTATTTTTCAACTAAGTTCACTTATTTTCTGGGGGTAAGAATTTCCTTTGTTTGGCCTTGTGAATGAATAACATGTGCCCATTTCTCTACTATTTCCCAGTGCCACTGAGCCAATCTTCTACCAAGACTGAAAATAGGCCATGGTTCTCATTTCTAGAACAGATATCATCAGCAGAGCTGACTGGGAGACCATCGGGAAGCCCCACATTTTCCAACTCAACAGGTGGAGGACATGGGATTTTTACGTGCTTTGGGGACTGAACCCCCACTTATCATCATCTCCCTCGGCCTTTCAGGATAGGTATTTCAAATCCCTCAGAGATTTTCTTAGAAGAGACACCAAGCGACAATGGTGATTCTGTGAAGGACTGAGGAGGGGTGGTGGAGGATGCAGGTAGGAGGGAATTTAGGCTGGGAGGAGAGGTGCTGGGATGGGAAGTTTGGTTTCCTGCGCAGTGACCAGGACAAGGAGTAGAGGGAGAAGGCGCGGAGTGGCAGCGGTAAGAACAACGTGAAAAGGACCGAAAATGCTAAGAGTGGCGCTCTGGCAGACTTGGGCGGGGCAGAGTGGGAAGGGTCACGCCAGGACGTACAGTGCTGTGGGCCGGGGGAGGCGCGCCCCGAGGGACAGGAACGCACTTGCTGGGGGCTCCGGGACCCGAGCTCCGCAGATGAGGTCAGCTCCGCCGAGGCGCCGGGAGGAGGCCAGCGGAGCCCCCAGACGCGGGTGTCCGGAGGCCGGCGGAGGGGCGGGACGCGATGGGAAATGGGACGACGAGCCAGAGCTGGGGGAGGAGGGACGAGGGGGCGTCGGCGTTGCAAGCCGGAGGCGGCCCGACCAGGATCGTTTCCTTCCGGAGAGAAGGCCGACTCCAGACTGAGGCGCGGACGGGGGCTGGGGGGTGTCCAAGGGCGGGTGACGGGGAAACACCGCGGCCCGCGCTTCCCTCCGGCTGGCAGAGGTGCCGCCTGCGGCTCCTCCTCTCCCCGGCCAGCACGGACCCCGGCGGCGGTGGTGGGGCGGGAGGCGGGAGCGAGGGCGGGGGCTCGGGAAGGAGGGAGGAGGGAGGGACCAGGCGCGCCACTGACAGGGTGGCAGCCTCGGAGCGGACGCCTTGCCGCCGCCGCTGCTCCTCCTCCTCCTCCTGCAGCTCCTCTCGCTGCCGCCGCCGCCACCACCACCACCACCACCGCCGCTGCCGCCGCTGCCGGGAGAAGTTTCACTCCCGACCCTCGCTCGGAGCCCCAGCCCAGAGTGGAGTGGGAGCCCGGCCGGCAGCTGCAGCCCGCGGCAGTCAAGGCGTTCTGGGCGCTCCGACCTCCAGCCGGCGTCGGCGCCTAGGCGGGGGGCTGCGGCCGGTGCTGGGGGCGCAAAGGCAGAGGAGGGGCGGGTGTGAGCCAGGAGACCCGCGTGTGGCGCCGCGGCCGCCCAGAAAGCGTCCGCGCCGGGGGCAGCCGCGATGGCCGTGCGCTCCCGCCGCCCGTGGATGAGCGTGGCATTAGGGCTGGTGCTGGGCTTCACCGCCGCGTCCTGGCTCATCGCCCCTAGGGTGGCGGAACTGAGCGAGAGGAAGAGACGCGGCTCCAGCCTCTGCTCCTACTACGGTCGCTCCGCCGCTGGCCCCGGCGCCGGCGCTCAGCAGCCGCTCCCCCAGCCCCAGTCCCGGCCGCGGCAGGAGCAGTCGCCGCCCCCCGCGCGCCTGGAGCTCCAGGGGCCACCGCTGCCCGAGGCAGCGCCCGGGATCACCAATTTTCGAAGCAGCCCCTGGCAGCAGCCACCTCCGCTGCAGCAGCGGCAGCGAGGACGCGATCCTGAGGGCGCGACGGGGCTTCCCGGTGCTCCAGCGGCCAAGGGGGAACCCGTGGAGGAGGACGGGGGCGCGGCTGGGCAGCGGAGAGGCGGCCGGCCGGGGAGTAGCCACAACGGCAGCGGGGACGGGGGCGCTGCCGCCCCGAGCGCCAGACCCCGGGACTTCCTGTACGTGGGGGTGATGACCGCGCAGAAGTACCTGGGCAGCCGTGCGCTGGCCGCGCAGCGGACCTGGGCGCGTTTCATCCCTGGCCGCGTGGAGTTCTTTTCCAGCCAGCAGCCCCCCAACGCCGGCCAGCCCCCGCCACCCCTGCCTGTCATCGCGCTTCCGGGGGTGGACGACTCCTATCCGCCCCAGAAAAAGTCCTTCATGATGATCAAGTACATGCACGACCACTACCTGGACAAGTATGAGTGGTTCATGCGCGCCGACGACGATGTCTACATCAAAGGTGACCTCCTTGCGCCGGCTTTCCAGCCTGCCCGCCTCCCCGACTCCTTTCCGTATAACGGGCTCTAGCCCCTGCCCAGCCCATCCGCTTCTTCTCTGCCAGCACGTGCTCCGGGCTCCCACAGGCCCTGGCCCGCCCTCCCCACCCCTTGCATCCGCCCACCATTCCTAGCCCGCGCCTCGTCTTCTGCAATCTGGACCCTCCTCACACCTGCCTGGCTTTATTCGCTTTCCTCACTTGCTCTTTTCGGTGCCGCCTCACGCATAACCGTTAGTCTTTACCGTGTGGGAGAGGTGAGAAAAGGGACCTTAGAGCTAAACCAAAGGCCATTCCCATTCTGCCCTCCTCTGAAAGCCCCCGCTGATGGTAATTTCCCCAATCAGTCCAGAGGGGCGTGGTCTTTGGTACAGGAAGGGAAGATCGAGGATGCTGGCTAGAACCAGTCTGAAGATCCAGTGTTCTTGCTTTGAATTTTGCTCTTTTGTTTAAACTGGATCTAGCTCAGTTTTGGAACTGTTCAGACTGAGAAATCGTCTTCGCTATTCCAGACCCTCCCCTATGTGTTCCCTTCCCTTTGGCACAACTCTCCATACCCTGGGAGTCCTTGGGCATCCCCACCGCCCCAGCGCGCTGCTCCTTCTAGCCACTACAGTGCAGCACCAGGCCGTCCCCCATCCCCCTGCCCCACCTCAATAAAGCTCGGAGAGGATGGGCACATTGTAAGGAATTGGTGGTGAAGAAGAGGAGGAAAGCACGCGCTAATAAGCCAGACCCTGGGAACATCCGGCTGTACTAGCACACAGTAGTACTGGATTCTTTCCAGTGCATTTTGGTGGCCGCGGTGATAAGCAGAGGCTGGAAGTCCTTCCCAGAATCACAGGCAGCCACAGCAAGAAAAAACTTTTTTTGTCAGTTTAAAAGAGGCGCGGTCTTTTTCCCGGAGTGTGGGCGGCTCTGGACAGAGAGTTTCTAAACTCAGCGGATCAAAGTTCCCTGGGTCAGAGAAGTGAATCTGTCCAGTCCAACCAGTTGCTGAGATGGGGAGGAACGTAAGGCAAGCGCAGGGTTGTACTGAATGAGTTCTGTCTGTGCTTTCCACATTTCCTAGCTTCTTGGTCAAAGGGGGGCAGCCCTTCCTTATTTTATGCCTCTCTATTTGTAGCCTCATTGCTTTCTCCTGGTTCAGATAGTACTTTTCACATAATGCAAGAAAAACAAAGAAAAAGCCAAACAATAAACCCTAACTGTCACATTTTGGCACAAGGAATTAATGTAATTATAATAACTAGAGATTTCTTGGGTTTGGATTGGAAGGAGGGAAGTCATTCCAGAGCTTGTTGGAATAGAAAATACTGGTAATTGGGTACAAAAATAAAGAATGGTTTCATTACATTTTTAACAGTGATAGGATTGACTCAAAGAAGAAACCTTCCTCTACTTCAAGTACCTTGTCTTGAGTGTCTCAAAATCACAAAGGTTTCTTGGCAGAAGTTTGCCACATTTTGGAAGAAAATTTATAAAATGCATTAACAGCACCTACTTCTGTCATTTGTTTAAATAGCTTGAAAAGGTGTCCTTCAGAACATCGAAATGCCATATTATTTCAATTTCATTTAGAATGAAATGTGTTTTGTATTAAGAACTCAATAATAGCTGAAACTCATTGAGATCCAGGGGGCAAGGCATGGGATCAAGATAATGAATGCAGATGCTGTGCTCATCAAAAACAGTAGTAAAGATGCTGACTGGGAATATGAAAAAGGTGACTCTCTACTTACTCCAATGTAGCACTTGGTAGAGTGCCAAGTGCTTCTGAACTGTTTTAGCTGAATATTTTTACTTTTAATTACAAGTGAAACCAATTACACTAATTTTTGACAAACACATATTTTTTTCCTAAAAGGTGCCTTCCCAAATTAAATTTCAAAACAAGTTTGATTCAAACACCCTCCAAAACTGTATGGGTTGTATATGACTCAGGTTTAGTTAACGGCAAAACGCCGAACTAAACCAATTATGAGTAAAAAGCAATTATTAGGTATCAACAGCCAAAACAATGCTAAATATCAGTATTTAATATTACTGGGAACTTTTTGTTACTTCAAATGTACTAAGAAACTGTCTGCTTTCCTCGTAAATTTTTGCAGAAAAGTGATGATTGTCAGAGCTGTTAAGGTTTTTCAGTGACCTTAACCAGAAGCTGATATAATTTTAATATGTTTTACTTAATAACTGTGAATTAGTCTTTTTAAAATAACAGAATATTGGGAGAGGGTTTTTTTTTTTCTTTTCAATTGCATAAGACTGAGGAGTTTAAGTACAATGTTGAACGTTCTGTCCCTTACCTTGTACATTACAAGCGATAATGAAATAAGGAGACATAGTAATTGTCACCTTTCTCTTTGTAGGTGATAAATTAGAAGAGTTTCTTAGATCACTGAACAGCAGTAAGCCTCTCTACCTGGGACAGACTGGCCTGGGGAATATTGAAGAGCTTGGAAAGCTGGGACTGGAGCCTGGGGAGAACTTCTGTATGGGAGGACCTGGCATGATCTTTAGCCGAGAAGTTCTCAGGAGGATGGTGCCACATATTGGTGAATGCCTTCGAGAAATGTACACAACTCACGAGGATGTGGAAGTAGGAAGATGCGTTCGCCGTTTTGGTGGGACTCAATGTGTCTGGTCCTATGAGGTAAGACTTGAGCTGTGATGAAAATGTTCACATAGTACAAGTACATGCCATTTTATAATCTAGGGCAGCGATTCTGCTTATTCTCTCTGTATCTTTGTATTTACTTGAAAATGATAGTAGCAGCCCCTTAGGGATACAGGAGTGATTGTGGGAGATAACTTCCTCATTAGGTGTCAGGCCTGTCTGAGGCTTTGTTATTAGCATGCCCCCTAACTTTAAGCGGTGGCCTATAGTTATGGCCACATCTCTGGAAGATGCTATATCCTCCTCTGTTTGATTTATTGGTGCTTATATACATGTGAATCTATTTCCCTTCTCGACAAGAGGTTTAATTTTACTCCTCTCATCACCTGTAGCATTAGCATTTGGTACTGTGCATTTTTATTTTATTTTTGGTTAGGTATATAATGGCATCTCTTTGTTTTTAAATAGTTAAAATCTGTAGTTTCTTTGAGTATTTTCCAGTGGAAATTTGCATATTTTAAAAATTATTAGAAAAGTAAACTAATAGTTATTACTTATGGTACATGTATTCACAAAATTCTGATCACTGTATTTCCTTGGGCATCTAAAAGGAATGAATTATCTGGAAAAAAGCAGATATTTTAATGGTGTTCAGTAGCTGCTTAGTATTTTTAGCAGGTTCCCTAAAATTTGTTTTTCTATTCTTATGCTATTTTCTGAGGAAGAACCATTATTTAAATAATCTTAGGTATTTATTTATTGCCGTGATTGGTTTTATGAAATACTTTGAGATTTTTTTCTTCAGAAATTGGTTTTGAGATGTAATATCATTTTATTTAAAATAGATTTCCTAAAAGATAATTTTAGTAAAAACTGATTTAACATTAAAATAATGTACTGTTTTCGGTATAGTCTGGCTTTCAAGTAGTTGGAATTTAGCAATACTTTAGGTACCCAGTGCACAGCTTTGTAAATTATATCTTAACTCCTTTGCTTATGTTTTAAAATTTTTCATGTCACTTAGTGTAGAAGAAACATTTTATGAAAATATGTGCCCTGTAAAGTCACTATATACACAGTTCCACTTTTTTTTTTTTTTTTTTTTTTGGTATTTCAAGTGTAGTCCCACTTTAGTTAATTTTGCTTTCTTTTATACTTTGTGGTATTTATACTTTGGGGACATATTTTATGTATTGCAGAAAGTAAAAATTACTAATAGTCATTTGAAATAGGCACTATGAAAATTTAAAATGATTATGTTGCTAATTTCTTTTAATTTGTAAAAACTATCCTACAACTACCCTTTAGGATAAAAATTTATGTAAAAACATTATAGTTTAAAGTCAGGTAATCTAGAATAAACTCAATAAAAATAATTCTTACTTTGGAACAAAGTAAAAGACAAAAATATTCAGTACAAAGAACATTGATTTTGTTTACATGCTGGTATTATTTTGCAGGTATTTACTTTATATGGATAAGTAAAAAAAAATCTCATCTGTAGTTAACAATGTAGATAGGAAATTATTATGTGTTATATGATACTTTGTTGCCTTAACATAATATATAAAATTTTAACAAAGATAGTGTTTAAATGTTTCTTTTTTCAAGTTCTCATTGATTCTGCTATGAAGGCCTAGTCTTCACCTAGCATTCCATCCATTCATGTCCAAGAGAGTAAGTTATGCACAAAAATTGGGAGCTCAAAAACTGATTTAATATTTTATTTATAATGTAGGCCTTTGTTCTGGTTAAAGTGAAGAGAAGTTATTATAGATGTGTACCCTCTCTGTTAGAATAAGTGGAATCTTAAATCATTTTATTAACTGATGTAAGAGGCAAACAAAAGAGACCCCAAGTCTTACAGACTGTAAACTGGTGAATATAACATTTTCAGTAACTTTTCACAATACATTTGAATTTAGACTGGCACTTGACCATCACTGACTTAGGAATCTGTATAAAACTAAACTAACTAATCATTTCAACATGATTTCTAAGCATTAGAAAATATTTTCTAGATAAGTATTGTTGACTTTATGTTTTGCTAAGCTATAACATAGAATTTACTTTATTTTGGAATTTCAGTCTTTAAAGGAGCTGTGTAAATGGTATTTATTTAAAGAGGCATTGATTTGATTCTAATACAAAGTCTCAAAAGTCTTATGTAAAGATATGACGGTAAATTTTATTACCAAGAGATATGTGAAAGAGCATTGTTAGTAAAACTAGTAAAGATAGATATACAAAGAAATGATATCTAAATTTGAGTACTAGAATGTGGTCTGTATTTCATAAGACACTTAATTAGGTAACTTAGGTACAGCTAAACTGGGTGTAACATTCACAGATCCCATACTTCACTTTCTAATTTGGATTTTATGTTAGTGGAATTGGTGTCCATGTATGATACTGTTCATATTATATAGAAAGATTGGTCTATTCTACTCTAGGTTAGCATCCTCAGTAAAGATGTGATTTCATATCTGGTCATTAATAAAGTTATGAAATTTTTCAGTACTTTTTTCCATAGTTCTTTTAAAAGAACTATCTGCGACAGAATTTTCTTAATATTTTACATTTCCTTTATCTATACCTTTCACAGATTTCAGGTTTTTTTTTTTTTTTTTTTTTTTTTTTTTTTTTTTTTTTTTGTTTTTTTTTTAACAATTTTTTTTTTCGGTTTTGTATACTTTTATAGTAATGTTTTTTCATTAATCGTTGTTTCAGAGTTGAGAGTCCTGTTAAGGCAGCATGTTTACGGTTTTTGAGTTTGAATAGATGAAATGTTCATGATAGAATATCATCTTTTAAAAATGGTGAACATGCTTGCAGATCTTATAAAAAGATAATTGAAATAATTATTAAATAAAATATATGATTGTATAGTTTTCCTTGAATATAGTTTTGTAAAATCTAGGAATTAATCTTCTAGTATTCTTCTTAACTGCTAAACAGAAATTACTTTCTCTGTATTGTATATACCATTAAAAATATATGGTAAAAGAGAAAGGGAGAGCGGTGATGGGGGATTTGAACTGGGGTTTGAGCAATCATTCTAACACTTACCAGCTTAATTGTCTTTTGGAAGTTACTTCTTTAAGCCTGTCTAATTCAACGGAAAGTGGAGATTGTAAGAGTGTTTATCTCATACATTTCAGGAAAGATTAGGTGAAATGATCCATGTAAACCCCTAATGTAGTGTCTGGCACATAGTAAATTTTCAATATATGTTAGTTTTTATTGTGCTAATGTTATAGATATTACATAATATTATATAATATGGATTCATATATTTCACTTAATAATTATTAGTAATGGATGTGTGATTCATTTATATCCAAAGGGTTGAAATAAAAAATATATTCTCATAGAGTTAAGCTTTTCTTTTTGTCAAAGAGTAAGAAACCAGTATATTATAGTATTTCAGAAATATGAGGAATTCAGCATTAGTAAAACTTACTATAAAATATGGACATCTGTTTTAAAAATGCATATTTGTTTCAGTCTTTACACCTAATATGTATAAGGTGTGTGTGTGCGTGTGTGTGTGTGTGTGTAACTGAATTTAAGGATATGTGGAAAATATTACTTAACAAGTTATTATTTAATATATACATGTAAAGAATCCCAAACAGATCTCCATAAGGAAAAAAATTACTGTATAGATTTCTAAATTAATTGCCAGAACAATGGCCCCTTTTTTTGAGTTTCTCTGGCATCATCAGTAGGGAAGGAAGTGAATAGTATTTCATTCTGCAGTCAACTCATGAACACCCAGGGGGTTGTCTCTCAAGGCAGCGGGAACCTCCTCCTGGTGTACCTCAGGTTTTTGAGGTAATGATCTGCAGCTTCAGGCCTTTCTCACAATAAGGCCCAGGTGGTCTGGGGAAATACGTCTTGCTTGTTGGTCTCTTGCTCTTTTCCTCTGTCTTCTCTGCTCACTTTTTCTGTTTCCTTCCGCTTGAGTGATAGATAAAATAAATTTCAAATGTATTTTGATATGTACTGCTTTTCATCAGGTTCCTAGTAAATTAATGTGCTCATAAAGGATCCAACTCAGTTACCTTAAAAGATCACAGGATGTGCACCCAGACCACAGTAGATCACAGTTAGGGCTCCAACATGGCCTGACCTGCTCAGAATAAAGAGGCCTTTGGTTGAGGTTGAGCCTTATACAGACTGGTTCTTTGTGTGCCTGTGATCATTGGAGGGTCTGAATTGAGATTCTCCCTTTTCCACCTGGGATTGAGGCATCTTGTTTTAAAACCATATGGCAGATGTTAATAATCAACAGACTTAATGGGTTATACCTCAAAATTTATAAGCAAAGATTACTAACTGAATGAAGCATGCATGCTCATGAGAAAGTCATTCTATTCTATCCACTCTGCAAGTGTTAGAATTTATTGGCCTCCCCTGTTGGCAAAGGTTATATTTTTGGTTGAGCTCTATCTTGGCTACAGCTTTTCTAGAGCTGCAATCTGGCAGCTTGGGAGGCTGCATATGGTTCTTAAACATTGTTTGGCACATAGAATATTTTAAGGTTTCTTGTTTTTGTTTTTTTGACACCTTTAGCAGAGGCAGACAATCTGCAGTTTTTTTCATGTCCTCTTATTGTTTATAAGACTCTTCTTGCATGTTTGCCTGGCTTATGTGGGCATAAAAGTTTTGATCTTTTAAACTAGATAATCCACATCTTGCAAGTTTCATGATAATATTCTATAGAAAATGAAGTGATTTTCCAGTGAGACTGAGAGGTATATTTTAAATACTTTATGGAAGAGTTAATATGTTACAAATTTGGCCAATTTAAAATGCATGTTATATAACATAGTTACACTTTATTATAGATATGTTTTTAGTAAATAACAAAAATGTTCTCACTGTTAAAAATTATTTATACATTCATGTTCATTTTGTGTATTAGCAGAACTGGAAGTTTTGTTTTCTGATTTTGTTTTTAACAAGATCACTTATATTCAAACCGTAAGATAATTTTAATTGTGATGATTGTTCTTCTTTCTTTGAGGGAG